AACCCCACAAAGCCATCAGGGTTGCATTGATTGTGATGGGAAAAGGCAGCTCATTCTCACATCAGCATACACTGTCCCTTTCTTTGACTCATGGTAGGGCACTCTCACAGCACAAATCCTGTCCCTGCAGCTCCTTGGGCCACAGGACAGACCCCCACCCTTGCCAGGCTAGACTGTAAGTGCCTTTGCCACTGATTCACCCTTGGACTTGTATCAAGACCACAGGCTGCTTCATGAAGATGTCTCCAACTTGGATGATGAAGAACAGTAACTTGGCAGATAGGGTTTTTCCTCTTGATCCCCATACCCTAGGTACTCAGGAATGGTGATTATTGCAAACAATGCTTGAGGATGCAAAAAATGACCACATGGATGCAGTCAAAGTGGATTCTCTCTGCACTGCCAATCCTGCATCCAGTGGAAAGTGAAATGAGCCTCCCAAGGATTAACAGCACTCTGTACCTTAATGCCATTTCTGGAGTCTTTCTGGGTCTGCGTTACCTTTGAGGGAGGCACAATTTATGGTCTTTTCTGTCAGGGGGCTGGTGCAGTGAAGTAGTGTCCAACAGTGTTTGCTGTTTCTGCTTTATGTCAGATTAATCCCTTAAAACACACAGCTGGATACACATGACACCCACACACATTCAAGGGTGGTTGTGTAGTCAGGGTGTGAGAAACAAAGCATGATGAAGATCCATGCATCTGTTGTATTTCCTTCATAAGGGCTCCTAAAGGCTCCTCTTCCTCATTAGCAAATCTAGTAGTTAGTCAAACATGACAGAAGCTGAGACAAGCGTGGCTTTGTTTAACCAAACAGGCTCACACCTCCTCCCCAACCCCTTGCGGAAGTCATGTCTGATAGCAGCAGAACTTAAACATGGACCCAAACAGGTGGTTTATAAAGAAGCAGGCACACAAAAATCTGGAAATGTCCAAGCTGTGGGTGCTCTCCAAAAAGTGGGACTTTGCCTGGGAAGGACACAAGTGGAAAATGTGTTAAGGAGCTTTGCACTGGACTAGCTGGGAAAAAGCAATGCCTATCCTTTTGGAGCTTTGCTTATAACACTGCAGTGAATGATGTCCACTTGCTGCACACCTTTCTGCTCAAAGAAGAACTTGCTGCCACGTGGTTCTCCCAGCTCACCTCCTCTGTCAACTCCTCTAGGGCAAGAGAACCAATTTGATTTTTCCACTTTATCAGAGGGATAAAGTCTTACTGTCACTCATGGCAACCTGGAAGTTATGTCCTTGATTGCATAGAAAGCAGGACTTCACTGGCTACGTGGAGCCTCCATGCTGGGAAGTGTTCCTGTACAATGCAGGACTCTCATCACCAGACAAGGATGGCAGGGGACAGATTAGCAGGGTTTAAAGAAGAAAAAAGTTGTATGCCTAATTCATTTTATACATAAAGACGAGGAATTAAAAATCAGGGACTTTGGGATAAGATAACTAAGTAGAAGAACTGATAATCTTAAATAAAGTGCTAGATTTCACAAGGAGAGAGACAATATGTAGTGAGATGAAGGAAAAGAGAAAATATATTCAAAGAAATTTCATCTATTCATACAATAGTCTTGAAAACTTTTCCAATGTTATCAGCACTTTTTAAAGCTACTGTTTGTCAAAGAGCCTTCATATGTGATCTCTGAATATGTTACACCCTGCAGGGAGGCTGAGTGACTCTGTGTTCCCATATTTATTAAAGTACTTTACCAATTTTCTCAATTCTTTGCATGAACTGACATTTTAAGGCTATCCTTTCAGCAAACTGATTACAAATTTGGATAACTAAAACTTGCTTTGATGGCTGATTTTAGGTTTGTAATCCCTGGCACACGCTGTTCTAAAGAGACCTTTAAAATAAGTCAGTTACCAAAACAAAAAGGGCTAGCAAAAAGACTTATCTTTCTGATTTTAAGGTAAGAAAGCAGTATGCAGAAAAAGGGATGAAATTCATTAAGTAATTTGAAATGTTTCTTTGTCCTAAAATCAAACTGAACCTCAAACAAAAAATGCCAAAATTTCATATTCATATTAATTCATATGGTGTTTTAAAGGTAGTGCAATCCAGAAGAGTTCACACAGAATTATAAGTTTCTTTGTTTCTCATTGACAACGCTGAAGGACAACTTCTTTGGCAAAGCAAACAGGAGATGGCTGCAAGAGACATCTTTACTTTCTTTATACGATTACCTTACTGGCATTAACGGACTTACAGAAAGCCCAGTGAGGACTCTTCGTTGATGTATTAAGCTTGATACACAAGCTTAATTTTGTGGCCACTCTTCATATATTATCTTCAGATGACCAATATGGTCTTAGTTTGCTTTTAACTCATATGAGAGTTTTGTATGAGTTTCCCTATGGGATCTACTTCCTGCTTACTAAGAAGCCCTAACAGCTGAGTGGATTCAATCTATCTAAGGCAAGACACTGGTGCAACCTACGATAGATACCTGTTTGTTTGAGGCAGCTGTTTCTGACAGTCTGCTTGACTTTAGTTCCCCCTATACCAGAAAAGATACTGAAGATAAACTTAAAAAAAAAATTTGGTATCTGGAGAGGATGAGATCTCTTGTGGGGTAAAATCCAGGATAAATGTCTATGATTGACTTCTGCAGGATTGCCTGGGTGGCATCCCTCTTCACACTCTGGATGTGATTGGGGTAAGATAGCATGAAAATGAGCATCATGCCGCTTGAAAATCCTGTCTGTGAGGTCCCTCAGAAAAGCCTTGCTTCTAAAAAGTCAGGACATAACATGGAAACATAAGAGAGCATGGGTGGCAATCTGCATGAGATCCTAATCTTTTTAAGTGTCCTGGAAAGATTAACTCTGGCAGGAGCTAAGCAATGTTTCATATTAATGCTGTCCCACAGTCATCCCCAAAAGCCTTCCTTCTCTTAGCCAGGAGGCAATGAATTCCTGAGCAGGGCATTGAACCAGGCTGTCAATGCCAGCCATCACTCCTTAGGTGACAGTGGTCTTACAGTGGCAACACAAAGCAATGCTGAAGATTTTCTGTTCTGTGCACCTGTTGGAAATATCAGGCTCAAAACGATTGTGAAAAGGTGCAGCCTACAGTGAGCACAGACAGGACAAGGATGTCTGGCTTGGGCAGCAGCTTGGAATTGAGTGCTGGTATTTCAGTACGGTGTTGCCAGCACCCCAGCTCGTCCAGCTACCATGGTCCCCCTCAGGCAGTGGCAGAAAAAAGATCAACCATAGGATTGTGTTAATTCGTATCCCCCCAGTAAGGGGGTCCTCAAAGCCACCCTAGCAGTTAGGAGGTAACTGGGCCTGCCATGCTTCTCCTTCACTGGAGCTGGGCAGTGGGGGCAATTCGGGATCTGCCCCAAAATATCTTCTGAGAAGATGCTGAAACACCAGGCAGCATTACCCTCCATCAGTTTGGTGGGTTTTTATTTTGTGTTTTGAGCATTCAGGGTTTAGCAGAGGACAAACAGAAGGTTTAGGAGACTTGGAGGGGATTAGGGATGAAATTAAAGAAAAAGCAAGGATGGTTCTTAGTGTGCGAGGTGGTACCACATGGGAGGATGCAGAGGGAGAGGAGCCTTGATGTCTGATTAACTCCTTCTTTTGGTTTCCGCTGTGCCAAACAGCAGGGTGTCCTCAGCACCTGTAATAAGAGAAGCTGCTCCACTTGACTTAAAGTTATTTTTGGCTCACTACTGGACCAAATCTTTAGCTGCTGCTCGCTGCTTATTTCAGCTTCCACTAACCTCTAGCCAGCAAGAGCTTCCCAAGCTAACCCTAACCCTAACCCGAACTGCCTTGGTGGGGCTGGCAGCATTGATCACACTATCTGATCCTGGTGTTTGCAGATGGCAAATGTCAGGAGGTTTGCAGCCCTGAGGAGGTCAATGGGATCTTCCAGGGCTTTTGTCACTGCAAAAATCATCAGCACACTGTCACGAACTTGGCTGTCCCACATGGGAAGAATGAGCCATCCACCCTAACTGGGTGTCTTCAGCAGAGGTCTTCCAAAGCAATGCCGTGATCAGCAAGGTTGTGGGTGAGCTCTCCAGCAGACAGTTGGTGAAAGGCCACCAGCTTTCCTGCTTGCAGGGGTTTGTGCCAGCCCATGTCCTGTCCTCAGTGTGGCAGCAGCTCACACAAAGCAAGACTGTGGGTTCCCACAGCACTTGTCTGGGATAGGAGAGCTGCTGCAAATCCCCAGGGAGGAAAAGGCCATGTTTACTCACAGCAAAGCAGAGTCCTGGGATGGGTCCTGAGCTGCCACCCACTGTCACAGCCCCAGCTGTCTGCAGGCATTTTTTTCTTATGAGTTACTTCAAGAGCAGCAAAGCCCTTGAGAGGGCAGGACTGAAAGGGTTTTTCCAGGTTATTTTCTCTATAGCCTTTTTCATCTCTGAAGGCTCAATGGGCCTGATTCTGCCATCCTGCTGTTAGTGCTACGTGGCCAAACCAAGACATGAGGTGGTGGAAGACCACTGAAATGTATGGAGCTTTCAGGAGACAGGCATCAGAAGGTGCATACGTGAGAGAAGCATCCAGTCCCACGGTTGCCTTGGGGGAATCAGTGTTATTTTCTTATTTCTTTACTGCCTCAATGACAAGGCAAATAAGTGGAAAAAAAGTGCTAGAGAGGGTTGAATCTTTTCCTGCCTTCTATTTTGTCCTTTTGCAGATCAAAATCCTTTCACGCAACTTTCAAGTTGGGAAAGCAAATGTGGACTGAAACACAGCACAAGAATTAACTCCATCAAGAAAGGGGGAAAAAAAACAGAATAGAAATCTTTTAGGCACAGACAAACAGGCGGGGGGAGTGTCTGGTCTCCAAAGGCAGGGTGTCTGCAATCTTTGTAGCAATTAGATTTAATGGGACAGAAACGTTTCTCTCCTTCATGTCCCCTCCTCCTCTCAGCCTGAGGGGGAGAAAGGAGGGAGGTGGTGATGGGGAGGTGGCGGAGGGAGAAAAGGTTTGAAAGAGTCTTTGACGTCAGCCCTGCCCTATAAAGAGCTGGCAAGGAGCTGGAAAGCAGACAGCAGAGCTCACAGAAGAGCAAAGATGCCAACCCCGAACATCTCCACCTCTGCAGCCAAAGGCTTCCGCAGGGCAGTGTCAGAGCTGGACTCCAAGCAAGCTGAGGCCATCATGGTAAGACAACCCTACCCCACTTCTTTCCCTCCCCCTCTGAAAACCGCAGCCTCTCCTTTAAGCTATAGGAAGAGGCAGGCAGGGACAGATGGACCAACACTGTCTTTGTGGGAGTTCCCCCACATGTGCACCTCTGGGCTTCAGGCTGGCAAAGGGAAATTACTTGAACAGTTCTCTCTACATACAGGTACATGTGAAATGCAAACATTTAGGGGATGAAATCTTGAACTAATTCAACCTCCACCATCCCCCAACCAAAAGCAGGGTAAATAACCCATAGAATTAAGGCAGGAATAACACTGAATCCACAGCGTGAAAGGCAATTTGAAAATCTGAATGTTTTCCTGGTTTCAAGGCAATAAACTGTAGTGATTTCACTCGTTCTAGCATAATGTAAAACTGTGGCTGTTATTTCAGACAACATATGAGGCACAGGCAGTTTAATCAGTTTGTTCACTGCTGCTGCATCCACAGTTACGCTCTCTCCCAGCACATCCTTCCCCCTTTTTCTGTTCCCAGTCCTCCCTGATGGGGACTCAGCCTTCGGTTTAGCTGGTGGGATGCTTCTGCACACAGCAGATCTGTATGTGTCAGGGAAAGGAGATGAAAACTTCCTGCTGATCTGTCAAGTGCCTTTAGAAAGCCAAGTCTGGACAAACCATTGGACTGTCTATAGGGACAGGGACATTTCACCTCCTAACCCAAATGCCAGGGCAGGCAGGAGGAGCCTGAGGCTCCCAGAACAGAACCGTCCTGTGGGTCACGGATATGACCAGGAGGAGCCAGAGCAGACCGTAGCAGTGGGTGCACCAGGAAGGGACCCCCTCAGGATGCTTCACAGAAGGAAATGCGGGAACCGAGACAGGTTAGGGAGCAGATATGTTTGGCAGAAGTCTTCAGGGTAACTCCAGCAGGTTGGTTATAGAGCTCCTCATTTCCCTCCACTATGCCCGCTGTCTTTTTCACCCACTCTCCTTACCTTGTGTGGTGCTCTGACTTGGTAAAATCAGCCATTGCATAGGCAGCAAGAGGTGTTTTGGAGAGTGGAGCATGCTGTAAAAGAAGGGAAATATTTAGGAAACAAGGAGGTAAACTTGCTTTCTAAAACAAATGGAAATCAGGGAAGGCTTCCCTCTCACACAACTGTTTTCATTCTGTCAGAGTAATGAACACTTAAGTGGTTCTTGAAAGCCTGGTATTTTCCAGGCTGCTCATCAAATAAGTATTTGAGATGCTCATTGCTCTCTGGAGAAGGGGAGAGTGTCATGTTATTACACACTCTGGGGGTGCTGCTTCATGTTTGATGGGAAACAGGCCACTGAACAAAGGGGCCAGAGGAATTTGGGTTCACGAGGTATACTGGCAGGAGTATAACAACCTGCTTTGGATGAGTGGTTCCTCCTCTGTCCTCCAGGGATAACCTCAGCCCATCTTTGTATCCCTTCTTTGAATGGAATTTCTCAGAAAAATAAAAAAAAACCAACTTAGTATTGTAAGGATCACTTTGAGAGCAGGTTGCATGAAAGGCTTTGCCCTTTGCTCTCACCTAGCACAGATCTTGAAAACCACATCACTTATTTTACTGGGTTCTACCAGGCAAAAGGTGTGACTGCATCTGTATGTCAGGGATGTTTTGTGTGGCTGTGTGGCCATGTGTGGTGATTGGCCACCCAGTGTCTGTGTGTGTGTGGTGTCTGTGTGGTCATGGGTGATCGGCCGCCCAGCCCCTGCCCACCACTGCACCAGCTCCAGCAGGTCTGAGGTGTTTCCGTGCCATTAAACCCCAGGGACTAGCACCCAGGTGGGAAAATGACCTTTACAATCCTAGAACTCATTTACACAGGCAGGTATTTTACATGTCACCTGGGCCAGCCAAACATCAAACTCACACCATGGAAAAATCTCTTGTCATGTATTTAGTTTTTCTGCTGCTAGTAGTTTTTACAAGACACCCTTGGAGTGTAGCTGGAGCAGGATTTGATTACAGAGCACACAAGTGGAGCCAGACACAACACAGCAGTTGGAGGCAAACCAGCAGGAAGGAGCGCCCAGGAAAGCAAGGGTATGACATTAATGTCCCCATGCTGCTGGGTGGGAAATAGCCTCTGCAATCCATCCTGCTTTCTGCAAATAATGTACCAGGAATAAAAAGCCACAGTACTTTAACTCCTAACACAGTATTTTTAATGAGACTACTCAGGTAAGGGACTCTGATTTGCAGCAAATTCAAGGAAGGAAAAATGAACTAATCCTTCAGAAGATCTGCAAACTAACCCTTCATAAGAGGTGCATAACCATATCAGACTCCAGCCTCAGTGAGGCAAATAAATGCTCTGCAAAACTGCATTAAAGTTCTCACTGTAGCTAGATATGCACTCAGAGAGCTTGTCTGCAAGGCAATTTGGAAATACCATGTGAGGGTGCCTTCTGAAGAAAGGCAGGCATTTGTCGTGAGATATCAGTTTGGTTAGTTTATACGCCAAATTCCTAATTTCCAGCAAAAGGAATGTAAATTATGAGGGGCAGAGAAGAGGATGATGAAATGGGGGGCATCCAGCCAGGCAGCTTCTACCTGGCAGAGGAGGCAGCAGGAGGGCTGACCCCTCCTAGACTTCTTCTTCCCCAGAAATGTCTTTTTTTTTTTTTCTTATTTTTAAATTTACCTGCCCCAAATATGCCACCATAGAGCTAAGAAGCTTCCAGGACCCCTCACTCCTGACTGCCACGGGCCACCCAGTTGCAGCACATGGATCTGACTGGTCAAGGCTACCTCTCTCATGTGGCTTTCCAATCAAACAAGTCTTCTTGCTATTTGAACTCTTCACAGACAGATTTTAACCTGATTTACAGTGTAAACATGGGGGCCTGTTTTCCCTTCTCTCCCCCGCTCTACCCCACAAGTAAAATCTTGCTGCACCTCTGTTCCTCTGGGCACAGTGTGATAAAACATCCTTAGCTAACACACTGCCTGGCTTGGGACTGCTGCACAGCCCTGTTATGGTGGTTAGCAAAAGGTTGTTTGCCCTGCTTATTGCAGGCACCTTAAAGTAAACACCAGCTTAGCTTTAAGCACAGTAGTGATATAAAACACATGCTTAAAGCTGAATGCTTTCATGAGACTGTAAGAGTTACAGATGAGGATATTTATTAGACATCTTCTCTCTTTGGGGGTGAATACCATCAGTTTAGACAAGCAGTGGTATGTGCTTATTTGTTAGAAGGTGTTTTTTCTGTGCCAGAAGGAATAAAAGGGTTGAGGATCAGCAAATATCATTTCAGAGGGGTATCTTTATTGAAGAAAGGACCGAATAGAAGTGCGTAGGCTGGCACCTAGATGTGCTGCATTTCTCAGGCTGAATTTTAAATGTCAGTGTTACACCGCTGAAGCATCCAAGAGGATTTTCTCAGGAAGCATTAGTTGCTAATGGTGGGCTTTGAAAATCAGAGAGAAAAAGGGCTTAGTAGTTGAGTGGACTGTCTTTATAAGAAGAAAACATTCTCCAATTTGTCACAAGGTAGGGAAGGTGCTGCTTGATTAGCATCTCTTTTTCCAGTTATTTTCAATGTAATCAGAGGGAAAAATGCAGCCAATCCCACTCTATATGCAAGTGTTGGATGTCTTTACGTCCTTTTTTTTAGTGCTGCTGAGGTTTCTTTTAGCATGTTCTGGGGCTTTGTCAGCTGGCTTGGGTTTTGAACACAGAAAATTGGAACCAGCTGAGCTGGCTTTAAAAGAAAAACTGGTTGTGAAGTACCATGAACAAATAAGTTAGTATGTGAGCTATTTGTATAACAAAAGAAACAGCAGTGACTGAAATAGTTTGTCGCTCACTATAAATATAAATGAGTGACCTAATATGACTCCAGGCACAGAGTTACGGCATTTTAGGTGCAATTCCAAGCAACAGAAATCTGCAGGAGTTTGTTGGGACAAACCAAATCTATAGATCAGTGGGAGGAATTTATTTTCTGGGGTATACGGATGTGGTTCCAACTACATTTCAATGGGCAAGCATCCACTTGATGCCAAATGAAAATGTTATGTTGGATCTTGGGAGCAGTTTAGCTAAGCTGCCCTTTTAATACACCTGCAAACAGTTAATTTTTCCTGGCCAGGCCATGCCACAGCTGTGGGCTACAGCTGTCCCTCATAGTTATCTTTTCTCAGATGACTTCAAATTTACCTAACATCTCTCCATTTGAGTTTATCAGACACCTGAGATCTGCATAAGATTGTTTCTGATTCTTATTTTTTTGAAGGATATTGGAAACTGTCGCTAGGGAAGGTGAAGAGGGAAGCCCACTGTCCAGTCACGCTACAAGGGTATTTTACACAGATTTTTCCTAAAGCTCCACTTTTCCAAAAGTTCAATTCTAAGACCTCAGTCCTTATCACTATATTTTCCTCTACAAAGTCAGGCAAGTCAGTCTAACCTTCCCCTTCTACCTTCTGTGAGACACACGTCATATCTCACCCAGCTACCAGTGAAGCCTCTGACCTCCCATACAGCTCTATCAGAAGTATTAATTATTTCTTTCTGCCATTAGTCTCCACGGTTCATTGGTAGGCGTCAAAGTCTCATTGAAGATGCCAGGAAGGAAAGAGAGGCTGCAGCTGCAGCCACTGATGCTGCAGAGTCTACGGAGACCATTGTCTTTGAGGAGAAGGATGGGAGAGCAATGCTGAACCTCTTCTTCATGCTCAAGGGAGCCAAGACTTCACCACTGTCCCGTGCACTTAAGGTATTTGAGGTGAGTACCTAACCTGTTGTAGGGGACTCAAGGAACACACTACAGGTTTCATGGCTATTCTGTGAGACGTATCATTTGAGTCTACTAAATAAAACTCAGACTATGCCTTCCTACTGCAAATTATAAGTTAATTTTCTGATATCCCTACAGTCATGCTTTGTTCATGCCTAGCATGCCCTTATTTTTCATCACTCAGAATGAGCCATACCTTTATCTGGTAGTGCTGCTAAGCTCTGGGCTTAACTTTGTTTCATTTCTGGATAAAACCACACAGTTTCACACCTACAATCCACACCCATGTGTCTTGTAGCATTCCCTGACAGCCCCCTCCACTGCTCATCACTTCAACTTCATGCGCAAGGCTCTGATCACCCATTCAAAGCAAGATCTGTGCCCTGCCTGGCTATAGACCAAACCCACCTAACTTGTGGGTCAAGGCTTTGTCAGCCTCTGAGTGCTGTTGCCATATTGTCCCTTGGTCAAATAGTTACAGGAAAAACTTCACCCTGAATATAAAACTGGCATATTGATTTCAAAACCACCTCCCTACTTCAGGGATGAATTTGATTCATATGTTAAGGGTTCTGTTTGTTCCCTGGAGATGTGCTCTGTAGATGGCTTTAATACCAAGGGAAACTGGTAACTAATTGAGATTTTTCCCTCTAGCCAGCAATATAATGTTGCATTATCTAGGATCTCAGTACCATGAATGGAAAGACTGAGATAAGTGCTGCCTATTTAAACAGTAATCAAAACATGACAACTTGCATTATGTAGTACATTTTCATCCAGAAGGATTCAAAAGTGTTTTGCAAACTGAGGCTCTGAGATGTGTTTTATCTACAATAGTTTAATTTCATTGACTTCAGCAGTGAGAGGAAAGAACAATTTGTTCCTATTAATCAGTCATGTGGGTTGTAAGGGGCTTCTGGAGGTCTCTAGTCCAACCTCCTGCTCAGAGCAGATTCGGTCACAGCAGGTTGATCAGGATTGTTCTTGTTGCATTTTGAATATCACCAAGGTAGAGAACCCACAGTCTCCTTGGACCCCTTGGCAGTGTTTGACTTTCTTCATGGTAAAAAGCTTTATCTCTTTTCTTTTCCTCTTTAATGTCCTTGCTTCCAGCTCTAGTCCTCCCAATGTGTACTTTTCAGATAAGCCTGACTCTGTCTGCTTTACAGGTACTAGGCAGTGAACCAATATCCCCTGCTCCTTCACTTCTTAAAGCTGAAAAAAAACAGTTCCCTTGGTCTTTCTTCATATAAGATTTTGCTCCAGCCCCCTGAACTTCTTGGCAGCTCTCCACTATGCTATAGTGAGTAGCATAAAGTACATTAATGCCTTCCATCTTATGGGACAAGGTGCTACAGATGTAGTCTCACTCATCCCAGACAGAGGAGAAATCACTTCCTTTGACCTTATTGTCTACAGTCTTGCTTCTATAATTCAGTACATGGTTGGCCTTTCTTGTCACAAGGGCATGCTACTAGCTCACGTGTTAATTCACATAATTACATAGCCCTTTCTTTTGCATGAAATCAACCTCTTCTGGTGTAAAAACAGATCACCAGCAACACTATACAACAAAAAACCTACCTAACAGCTGTAAACATACAAAAGGTGCATTTGGGGTATAAGTATTTCCCTGAAATTGTAGGGCAATCTAACTGTTCATTGCCCATGTAGTACTATCTCTGATAATCATACAGAAAGTGATAAGATCTTGAGCAATTATAAAACCTCTTGCATTTCCTCAAAGGATTGTTGCAGGAAAATTTGTTTTCTTGTCTCAAGACTGAAAGAATCTCTAAGACAAGCTTGTCAAACAAGTCTTGGTATTGCCATGGTTGGGATCTCCTTCCTAGAAGTGCACAGATGCCAGATAAGGCATGAAAAATCCATCAGTGTAACATTTCAAATGCAACAGACTGCTTAGAAGGTATGAAACATAGAAGTGCAGCCTCTGGTACTTGGCAGATTTTATGTTACAATGTATTTAAAGTCTATAATTTAAACAATTTTTAAAACATCGAGCAAGAAGCTAGGGCAGCTTATGGTCAAATACTATTTGTTTCTTCCTGGAGCAATTTACATGCTGCATCAAAAGATTTCCTAGTAAAAAGCTCTTCGAGCTTTTCACAGAGAGAGCTTTAAATATAATAAAAAGACAAGCATGTCAAGCCACAACAGAGGAAGATTCATTTCCCAGATCCCTCTGGCAATGCAGGTACAGGATACGAAAGCAGACGGGCATAATGACATTTGCCTCATCGTGAATCAGGCTTCAGGGAAACTGGTTTCACTCTTCTGTATGTGCTACAAGAAGCCAAAGCATAGGTAATGCAATCACAGCTGTCAGATTAATGCAAAGGTATTGATTGTTGAGGGGACAATATAATAGTGAAGTTGGTAGGTACATTAAAAAACACATTCCTTATTTAATTTACCTGTGGCATTGCATCTGTTCCTTCTCATCATTCTGCCTCTGATTAATAAAAGAGATCATCTCTCTTCCTCTACCAAGGAAGAGAGTTGCAGAGAGTTTGGGGAGATTGCGTCATTGCCCAGGGACTTGGCTTTGTACTACCAGCTTTCACTGACTAAAGAAAATATTCAGAATCTACCAGAACAGAATCCTTTTTTTTTTGCTCTCTGTTCTTTGGGGGAGGCCAGTTGTGACAATGAGTCCAAATTATATCAGTTCTGCTAGGGAGCCCCAAATCAACTCTACTGAGGGCTGGGTACGGCTAAGCTGCGCCGTTTCAGGACCACGGCCAGCCCCAGCCCCGGCAGCGCCAGCCCCTGCTACGCAATCGCCAACCCCTTCCTTATCCCCCACCAGCAAAAAAGCACGTCTGCCTTCAGTAGGAGTTTGAAGGAAAGGAAGCCATAGGCGAAGTTACTTCACGGCATCAGTTTCCACTATTGATATGATCTTCTTTACCAGTACCCATAGGGGCCTACAAGAAAACTGGAGAAGGACTTTTATAAGAGTAGTGATAGGACAAGAGGTAATGGCTTTAAACTGAAAGGGGGTAGATTTAGATTAGACATTAGGAAGAAATTCTTTACTGTGATGACAGGCACTGGAGCAGGTTGCCCTGAGAAACTTTGGATGATCCATCCCTGGAATTGTTCAAGGCTAGGCTGGATGGGGGTTTGAGCAACCTGGTCTAGTGGAAGGTGTCCCTGCCTGTGGCAGGAGGGTTGAAACTGGATGGTCTTTAAGGTCCCTTCCGACCCAACCCATTCTATGATTCTGATTCTACGATAGTTATTGACCAGCCCTACTGGTCAGAAGGAAAACTGTGGAACTGATGGATAAATATGTTTATCCCAGTGAGGGGAAAAAAGGAAGAAAAAGACAAGGGGACTCCCTCCCAGATGCATTCATATAGACATCTTTGGGAAGTACCAGCAGGTATTTCAAGTGCTGTTTAATGCTTTTGTTCTCCTTTTCCATGTCCCAAAAGACATTTGAAGCTAAAATTCACCACCTGGAGACCAGGCTTAGCCGAAAGCCCCGAGAAGGGTCTGCTGAACTGGAATACTTTGTGCGCTGTGAAGTCCATAGCTCTGATCTCAATACTTTCATTAGCTCCATCAAGAGGGTAACAGAAGATGTGAGGACCACTAAGGAAGACAAATGTAAGGAACTTACAAACCGTTTCACTTTTGCAGAGGGGCTGGGCTGTAGAAACAGGGTTGTTCCCAGAAAAGGTGATGGGCTATTGTATGCTGAATTTGAACAAAGCTGAAAAGACTGCCTCTGGCACACCTGAATCCTGAAAGCCATTTCCCCCCTTGTCCATTTCTCAATAGACTCCAGAGTCCATAGCCCATTCTTGTGGTGCAGACTGGAAAAACAGAAATAGAAGATGAAATTTCATCCTTTGTTCACACCTCTCCTATACAGTTCTCCATTCCTACTCCAGTGTTTTATATTATAAATGTGAAGTAGTTTCCTACCTATGTGTCAAGAACTGTGTATAGATCCAGCACTAAACTACGAGACACTCCCATGCCATCCTGTTCTGAAGACAGGGTTATTCTTATTGTAAAAGATCTGCAGTGATTGCCCTACCACCAGTTGGATCTCTGGATTTGTTTTTAATGTGAAGTCTAGAATCTTTAAGTGAAATCCAATTTTTATCTTCTTGTTTACTTTTGTCATAAGATATTCCACTGAGAGATGGGCAGGGAAGTCATGAGGTACAGATCATGGCATTAGACCTGAGTGTAGAACAAGAGCATTGGGAGTGTGGATCTACTGCCCAGAAGGTGCAACTGTGTCATGTGTTTGTTGTGTGTCTGCATTCGGTACATCATGTCAGATGTATCTTATTAAACCTCACAACCGCTTCTCAGCAGGGGATGCTCCATCTTCACTTCCACAACCAGTTTTTCTCTTTCTCTCTACCCACAGTTCACTGGTTTCCCAGAAAAATCTGTGAACTGGACAAGTGCCACCATTTGGTCACCAAGTTTGACCCTGACTTGGATCTGGATCACCCAGTAAGTTAGTCTGTGTGGGCACATTCTCCTGTCCTGAGCCTTCCCTCAGAAGCAGCTAGCTGGACAACACTGCTTTGTGCAGCTGATCAGGGAGTGGTAGTGCAATCACCACCATGAGAGAAGTTTCTTCAGTCAGTGCTGAACTTTGCTGGGTGAGAAATTTCAGTAATTAAAAATCCTGTCTCTGTTCCTATTTATCATCACAGGGCTACTCTGACCAAGTATATCGCCGGAGAAGGAAATCAATAGCGGAAATCGCTTTTCATTATAAGCAGTAAGTCCCTTTGTTAACATTCATACAAGGAGAATGCCATGTCAATGCAACCTGTTGGGAAGTCATTGTACTATCTTCTTTTCTATTATGTTTTGTGTCTGTCTTTTCTCTATGTATTCCAGTCTCTTCTTATTAGAAAATGTCTATAGTGATTAATTCCTAAATTAATAAGAATAAATCTTGTGCATGAAAAAGCCATATATAATTCCTTCAGACCTCAAACTTCATTTTGAAATATAGTGTCTCTTTTAGAATGACATCTAGTTTTGAGTTCACTGTTTCAAGTACCTAAAAAGCTGCCACATGCCCAGAAAACTTGTTCCAATGGTTCATTATCCTGGCTGTGAAAAAATGTGGAGTTTATTTCTAAACTGAACTTCAGTAGCTTTAGCTTTCACCCAATGGATCATATATGCTTTTCATCTGTTAGACTGAATTCTGCTATCAGATTTTATTTTTCTTTTTGCTATGAAGGTATTTATAGACTAAATGGTTCACCTCCTAACTCTCTGCAATAAATTAAATAGATTCCAGTAATGGTCTCATCATTGTCATATATAGATTTAAGACTATCTCTTGTACTCCTACTTCATAATTCTGTTCTGATAAATGCAGTGATAGCACTCAACATCTTTGCTACAGCATCAAACACAGCTCTAATACTCAGGTGGTTTTCTAAAATATTTTGTAGGTCCTATTTGGTAACACTGTCTTTCACTGCAGCATCTCCCTCTCTGAGCATGACTTTAAATGTAGATTTCTGTAGCAAGCTGTGCTGAAGGCAGGCTATGGAAATTATATGGGTCACCTTCTTGAGCTACCCCTGCAACCAATGTGATCCCAGCACTGCTTTCTGCTCTGTTAGGTTTCATGTTCTTTGCAGATTTGAAGCCCAGAATACAGACATTGATGTTTTTATCCTTTGCTAATACTAAATGCACAGAAAGTCACTGAGGGACACAAAAATAAATACTGTCCTAAGATGATGCACCCACTTCAGGTGTCTTCTCTCACATCTCATCTGCAGGTTAGCATTTATGAGCCTCTGCATAGCACCCCTTTAGGCTGTTAATGGAAAAGGAACTATGCTTTATGACTGTAATATGTGAATATCTCATTTGTTCAAATACAGAGCAGAAGGATTTAGAAAAAGCAATTGGTAATTATGATGGAGGAAAGGCAAAAGTGTCAGTCTTCTTTAGTTCCTATTTATATGAATGTTACTATCAAACTTGTCAGTAAATTTGAACTGCAGTTCAAATGCATTTAGTTTTTCTCATTAGCTGCTTTTATTTCTCAGCCACTGATTCATTCTTGGAGTCATCAGGCTCATGAAGTTCAGGGACATGAAATTAATTTGTTTTCACACAAAATTTCTCTCTTTTTTTTTTTTCTAGTGAAAACGATTTTTTTTCCCCCCTGAAAAATATTATGCCTTCAAGCTTTTGCTCATCTCTTGTTCATTTACAACCTCTGGCTAGACTAACGCTTTTCTCTTTGTCTGTGTATTTGTTGCATGGGTACGAATGATGCAGTACTAAGGCTTTGTCTTTCCTGCTGCCCTCTTGTTTGGTTTAAAGAAGACTGTTGAATTTCAGACCAGAGCTTCTCTGAAGTGCTTCCTTCTCAAAGGGAAGAGGAGCCTGGCTTGTGCCCTGCTGCTGTCAGTAATGGTGCATTTGCTTTGCAGTGGGGATCCGATCCCTCAAGTGGAGTACACGGCAGAGGAGATTGCTACTTGGTGAGCACTGCTTTAATCTGTCACCTTTATTGTCTTCACCACTAGAAGCTGGGAATCAAAACCTAAATGGTTAGGGAGTGACCTCTTGAAAAATGCATCAGCAGTGCAAGCACCCTACTTAATGGCTTGTTATGAAACTCGGTACTTATTGTACAGCATTTTATGTTAGGCACTGCATCCAGGAAAGCAAGCTACCTCCACAACAGTGATGCTCTGTCTCTTCCTCCCTTGGGGCTGCAGAGAGAGCACTTTCATGCTGCAGTCCCCAGGAATTTCCTCTGAAGAAACCTGTCCCAAAGGAGAGGAAGGTAGATAATTTGGAGTCCCACTTCTCTAAGGGGACCTGGCTTAGTAGCGGCCTCCAAAGGGTGCTTATCATAGCTGCAGAAAGAAATATGAGTGCTGGGGTGAATATCTTCATTGTACCTCACTTAAGAAAATGCTTCCTTTGAACATGACTATTCCCAGGAATATCACTGAAAAGAAAGGCAGCTCATATCAGTGAGTACACAGGCTCCTAAACAAGGTAATCTCCTGGTTATAGTGACTGTCTTCCTAGGGCAACTGTAGGAGCTAACCTACAGGGAATATTTTCATTCCAGTTAATACCTTTTATACAATCTTCTGAACTTCAAGGTAAGAAACAGGTCTGTGCAGATACAACTACTCAGGCTCATTTGAATGTGCATCTGTATGTTTATATACCCCTATCAGTGTGCACACACAGACTTAGTGGAGGAGAAAGGTGTAAGGACAAGAAAAATAGAGGTATAAGTTTTTGATAGCATATAACCAGAAGACAGGAGAGGACTAAACATATCAAGCCACTAAACGTCTGCCACCTCTCCTCCTGAAGGAAGGAGGTGTACAGCACCCTGAAGAGCTTGTATCCCACCCATGCCTGCAAGGAATATCTTGAAGCTTTTAACCTACTGGAGAAATACTGTGGCTACAATGAGAATAACATCCCTCAGCTGGAGGAGGTCTCCTGCTTCCTGAAAGGTAGGTATGAGTCTGGGGGACTCAGGTAAAGGGTCTGCCATGGCTCCAGCATGGTGGTGGCAGAAACAGCTGGGAAACTCAAACTCGAAGGAGAAACATGCGAGCTAAGATTTGGGAGGAGGGCTGGTGACAGCTTCTTATGTTGCACACAGGGAACAGTGGGAGACCCCAGGCAGTGGGGACTGTAGCCAAACACAGTGAGCTGCAACTGAAGGTCAAGCCTGTAGTCAAATGGTCCCAATGAACACCTAAAGAGCAGATGTTACTCCCTAGTAGGAGCAAAAAGATTATACTTGGCACAGCAGAAGCCCTTTAGTTTCCAACACTGATCTTTTTGCTGTTTGTGCTGGGAATGTGGGACACCAGCACAGCACATAGACCACGCGCTTCCCCAGAGACAGTATGTGTTGTTTCAGAGAGGACCGGCTTCCAGCTACGGCCAGTGGCTGGCTTGCTGTCGGCGCGGGACTTCCTCGCCAGTCTGGCCTTCCGTGTCTTCCAGTGCACACAGTACATCCGCCACGCATCCTCTCCCATGCACTCCCCTGAGCCGTGAGTATCACCCAGTCACAGTGGCCTCCCCTGCCCAGACATCCCACCTGCCCAACAGTTAACTTTTCCCCTAATGGACAAACTCTGTCTGCTGCTGACTGTGTTTTCCTCCTTTCCCCCTGGGCATTGGCAGGGATTGCTGTCACGAGCTGCTGGGGCATGTCCCGATGCTGGCTGACAAGACGTTTGCCCAGTTCTCTCAGGTAAGGTGGTCATCTGTTCCCTTGTCCCTGAGAGGACAAGGCACAATGTGGGAACCCAAACCAAACCCAGTCTCACCACTTAAGTGCTTCTTGTACTAGGATTTATTTATACTAAACACAATATTCAGGAGCCCTAGTGAAGGACTGAGAACCCTAACACAGAGTGAAAATATCAGGCTCTGCAGTAAACTGTTTTTAGTCTGAGCATGATGAAGCCCCAGCAGATACATAGCAGTGCAGGGCAACAATATATTTTGTCTCAAGGCAGTAAGAACAGCATCCAAGCATAAGTCCGTAGGACTGAATCTGTCCTGATGCTGGCCCCTTCCCTTCTCTTCCCAGGACATTGGGCTGGCATCTCTGGGAGCAACTGATGAAGAAATTGAGAAACTTTCGACAGTAAGTTTTCTTCTTTGCTGGATGGGGGCCCCAACCCCTTCAGCAGCATTTCTGTGGTATCAAGGGGAGTGGGCCAGCCTGGCCTTCCCAGATTTGCAGGCTCAGAGCCCATACCTGAGCTGCCCCAGAGCTACTCTTTCGCAGTGACAGTGAGTGGAGACAGTGAGTGGAGACAGACAGCTTCCACATTAACCCAATTTTCTTGGGCTGCAGGGTATCACCAAGCATCATATTTCTAATGACAGCACTGCTGGGACTCTTTGGGATGGGATTAGATGACATCCACTTCCTTTGCCTCTCCCTCAGCAAGGTGACCTGTCCTGCTCTAAGGGCACTAAACAGCAGCTGGGTACTCAGGGGACCAGCCCAGGGACACATTTTCCATCTGTCCCAGTGTAGCAGCAGCTTAGTTTAGCACTTTGCTCTGGCAGTGATGGGTGCAAGGTAAGGAGAAGGGACAAAGTGACAGGCTCCTTTTCATTTTAAACAACCCCAGATCCTGGCCACGATGCAAGGGCTCTGAAGTGGCAGGGAGATGAAGTGGATGAGCTGCGTCTCCTATGCATTTTTCTTTCTCCTTTCACAGCTTTACTGGTTTACGGTGGAGTTTGGGCTCTGCAGACAGAATGGGATAGTCAAAGCCTATGGAGCTGGGCTCCTGTCTTCCTATGGGGAGCTCATAGTAAGTCCCAGCATAACTTGCCTCTCTGCCCTAGATCCTATAAGCAAAACACCTTCTTCTTTTGCATAATTCAAATGACTAAACCAAATCTGTTCTCCATCTCTGTTTATCACATGTGCTCTCAGATCCCTTTAATTTCATGACAGCATTTTTCTGCTGTGTCCATAGCATTCCTTGTCAGATGAACCAGAGGTGCGGGACTTTGACCCCGATGCTGCTGCTGTTCAACCCTACCAGGACCAGAACTACCAGTCCGTATATTTTGTGTCTGAGAGCTTCAGCGATGCCAAAAGTAAACTGAGGTAGGACTGGACAGTGAAAGAGACACAAACAGAAGGCAATTAAGCTATAAAATACTGAAACAGGGCTTGAAACCATGTCTGCTTTCAGTTCCAGGTCTCAGAAGCACTCTGGAAACTGATATCAGGTCTTTTAAAGTAAAGTGATATTCCAGTTTGCACAGACTCCAACTTCATCCCTTAGATTTGCCCAAGAGCCCCCCAAAAATATGCCGGACTCAACAGCATGGGTGTGAAGGAGTGTGATGGAGTGGGAGGAATTCTTGGTAGCAGAACTGAGAGTGCAAGAGAAGGGAAAAATCTAGCTTGTATGCTTAGTTCTCATAGGAAGAAGTTACAGACTATCTCCAGTTCCTAAGGGAGTCCAAGCAACATAAAAGGTGGTCCAGAAATTGGAGACCCAAACCACACACCAGGATCCCCTCTGCTTCCTTGCTGTAGAAGGGCCAAGTGATAGAGGTCAGGTACTGTCTGGGAGCATCTCACCAGTATGTGTCTTTCTGAAAACAGGCTTCTGCATCATGTTAAAGTTTGCTCTGTGGGTACAAATTTTAGGAGAGGGGTGAAGAACTGCTCAAAATTGTGTCATTCTCTGAATTAAGGATGCAGGAAAACGCTTTCTGAGCAGCTGCTGGGCAACTTGCTCATTTATCAGTCAACTGGCAAAAAAACCTCCAGGTATAATTAGTAGTTCATATACAAACAAGAAAGATTTGCTTTATGCAGATAGATTTATGCATGGATAAAAAGGAACTTTTGTCTCCTAGGCTGATTAGCATGGGTTAGCAGACCCCAGAAAGCATCCTAGCAGCATAACTGGGTTTCCCTGTTCCATGGGGCTGCAAACAGGATGGAGAGTGGCAGCTCTACACATGGTTATTTGTTCAGAAAAGCATTTTCTTGGTTGTATCCTGAATCGCTCAAGGAGAAAAGCTCAATCCCTTAACATTTGACTGACAGAGGAAAACTTTGCCTTTACCATTTTGTCTTAGCTTAGGAAAGGATGAGACAAAGTGTTGCACAATATACATGACTTTGCAGTTCTTGCAAGTGGGGTATATCACAGAAATGATGTGGTGAGGACTGCTATATTTCAGCTTCTGCTTTTATTGCCCTCACTTGTACTGTTCATACAACCTGGAGTCCAGCTGCTCAAAAGCAAGCACTTGGGGAAGTCTGTCCTCTCATACATGCTAGGCTGCTTTAAAACAACAAAAATCCTCAACTGTTGCCTTATGAGTCATTTACTTGCATCTAAAAAGGAAAAATGCAACCCATACACAGCCAAGATTAGACTAGAGGGGTTTGATAGTGACAAGCACTGTAAATAATCCTCTTGAAAGAGCTCAGAGACCACACAGATGTTACTCTATGAGGCAAAAAAATTAAAACATCTATATTTTTTTTGCATTACTGGCAGCTGCCACCATAGACCTGATTTTCAGTGTTATCCCTCAAGAAAAGCCTCTTTTCCCCAAAAGGAAACTTCCCAGCAGTTTTCTAGCATGGACACACACCCTCAGTATCATTCCAAGCACCCATGTCATACTTGCATGTTTCAAAAAGGCATCAAGTGAACACACCCGTGGAGGGCAAGTTTCTAACAATTAGCAGCTGTGCTACTAGTCATCCCTGTGGCTGATAGCATTAATAAGGGGAGTGAACAAGATCTCACTTGCTAGAACTGAGATAAGCCACACCTTTAGGAGGTGGTCAATGTGAGCATGCAGAAACCCCCTTCCTTTGCACTTGTTTTGGTTTCCCTGCAAGCACCAGCCTGCCGCTTTGACCATGTTGCCCTTTGACACTGTCTGGCGTTTTCCCTCAAAATCCGACAATTCAGGACTAGGCTTTCCTGCAATACCAGCCAGAGCATCTAAGAAATGGATACGCTTCCCAGAGTCCACCGCCAGAGCACACCCACGGTAGCCACAAGAGGGTACCCTAAGCTAAGCAATTCAGAAGCGAAAGGGTGAAGCCTCAGTAAAGGCGAGGAGCATGCCTGTTGCTAGTGTTGTTCATCCCCTCATCTTCCCAGGCCTTTCCAGCGTGAGACTGTAGCCTAAATATAGATCCCCAGCTCCATATTTACACATCCACGAAAGAAAAAAAAAACACCCTACCTTGTCAAGTGTACAAATCTGAGGTGAACATAAGCAATTTTGGAGAAAACTTACCCTTGATTTGTTTTCACCTGAGCATGTAGTTCTTCATTAGAAAGGTAGCAGCAAGGTCTTGTTCTTGAGAGCTGTCAAGTAAAGTCATGCTCATCACTGAGATCTAAACTCCAGTTGGCTTTGGGTTCAGTAATACCACTTTGCTCAAGCATATGGCTCTGGTAATGCTATGCACATACTCTCACCCAGGCCTGAGCCACTGCTTGTCAGATCTATTCTTAATACAGTTTGCAGCTAGTTCCTCCCTCCCCTAGGAGAGATTAGTCAATAAATGAATGTCAGAAAGGATTTAGGGATATAATACTATAATGCTATGTTTTTTTCTTGCAGTTAGCTTCTAAATCTCCTTGGCATTTTTGAAACAGAAATAAAATAAATTGCATTAGAGGATGCCTGGCAATGGCCATGGAGCTCACCAGTGCAGTGTACTCTCCAGTTTGATGCAAACCCATGTGTTCAGCCCACTGAAACCTGCAGTCAAACTTGCCGTCTTCCTTGCTTAACAGGAGAGATCTCAACTACTGCAGTAGCCCTGTGGAGCTGGAGAGGTGGGAAACCAGAGCTTTTGTCTAGAAACAGTCTAAAGGAGGCACTAACCTGTTTCAATCTGAGTGAATGTTACTGGCTATGGGGAGACTCGGGACCCATCTCTTGTACCAACCATCTGCACCCTTTCTTTACAGGAGCTACGCAGCACACATCAAGCGGCCCTTCTCAGTGAAATATGAGCCCTACACCCACAGCATTGAGCTCCTGGATAGCCCTCAGATGATCTGTCACTCCCTGGAGAGCGTAAGGGATGAGCTCCACTCGCTGATTAATGCACTCAATGTTATCAGTTAATATGAGAACTGGGCTCTTTCCTTCTCCTCTTCCCTCGCAACCCCAAAACCTCCTGCTCTGCCCTTGCCTGACAACTCTTGCCCGTCTTCTCCAAACATTCGCACTGCTGCCTGTCATCACGCAACCCCAAGAGCTTTCCAGTTTTGTACGTAGGGCCAGCTCAGAGGAGGGTAGGCAGACATACCGAAGGGCTGCCGGCTTTTTGGTGTAGCTGTTCTATTGACTGCTGGAAGAGGCTTAGCACAGACCAAAGGTATGGCCAAGCTACAAAGCTGAGGTCAAGAACTGTGTGCTAGGCTCCTGGGTGCAAGGAAGAGGAGAAAAGCTTCTTTATCAGAGAGAGAGAGAACCTATTTTTTTTGCAGTTTGAGGGAATAAATTAATCTGCTTTTCTGCTTTTTTTAGCCCCAAAGCAAATCCTGTAGCAACTTCAGGAGGGACCCTCAGTCCCCACCGTGTCCTGCCTCTTACAGCCTCGCACAGTCAGGAAATGCAAAGCTGCTTGAGAAGCTTTACTGCCTGAACCAACCCTATGTTTAAAATTCCAGCTCCCAGCCTCCCCTCAGCTTCTCACACAGGGGAATGCTTCGGCAAGAAACCCTGAGCTGTACCACCCCTTCAGGCTGCAATAAGCTGCTCTGTACCTCTAAACTGACCTAAGCCAGGAGTTGCCTGTCTGGCATACAGCAGTCCTTATCTACCGGCATCCTCCCCAGCAGAAGCACCACAGAGCAAGTCCTGGCCAGACCAGAGCATGGGCACCCCTACTACAGAGAGTATTCAAGAGTCCAGCTGCAATCCTTCATAGCAGATAGCAGTCACAGCTATTGGTGTGATTGTGTGCTGGTGGCCCTGAGTAGCCTCATCAGCCTTTTGGTGTCCCTGAGTTTATTGGTTATTGCAGATTGAGTGAGGCCATTGGTGTCCCAAGTTTTCCAGTCCTTGGGAGGATTTCACATGCTTTCACTTTTCCAGTCTATTACACAGACACGTACAGCATTACCTTGTTCTTAGCTATCCCAGTATCACTGTCACCTGCTGTAGCTCAGGTGTATGACTAATGTTATTGCTAGCCATTTCTGAGGAAGGTAACATGTGGTTAGGATGCTCAAACCCAGTTTCATTCAGCTTTCACTGTAGATATTAATGGCTTGATCTGACCCAAAGCTCTCAGTTTTCCTCCCCCTGCTTTTCCCTTTCTTATCTTCTTTCAGGCTGTCTCATAACTTAGCAGTTTGCTCAGAAGTTTGGCCCAAGGTTATGCAACTGTGCAGTATCAGAGCTGGGCTTGGGATGCATGGAGGCAGCTGAACAGCTGTGGGGGACAGTGAAGGGGAGAATTACACTTAGTTGTTTTCATGATCAGTTATAACATTTCTATATAGACTTTTACCATCCTTATCCACTATATATGATTTTTATAGTTTCCTCTTTAAGATAAATGCAAGGTTTAACAGTTAAGTTTTGACTATGAAGGATAAGTATCCTCCAATACTTAAATATATTGTTTCTTTCCAGTGTTACTTCTACTGTGACTCAGTCATTAATAGTTTACAATCCATTACATTTTATCCCCTTTCAGACCTTCACATACGCATGCTTAACCCCAGTTCTCTCAAATTTTAACTACTTAGCTACTGACAGCGCTTAGTCTCCCATCTGCTTCAATACCTCCTTTCTGTTTCCTTTCTTATTTGAACCCCCTCCTAAATTTCTCCTAAATTGCTTAAAAGGCTATTACTGAAATCAGCAGTTCAACACTAGGGCTAGCTGCTCTCCTCAAGTTGCTCCTCCTCAGAGGATTGTCCTGTAAATGAATAAAATTACTGAGTTCATTCAGTTATTGTAATTTTAGAGCACTTTTTCCAAAGCTTCAGCTATGATTTCCCAATCTGGGTGGATCCAGATCTTAAGATGTAACTCTCAATGCTCCCTTAAGAGCTGTAACAATTTTTAATTTGGGGTCTTAAGTTATTACTATTAGATTAAGTAGTTGGAACAAGCTATGCAAGACTAAGGCAGTTAGGTCATAAGTTACCTATCTAGGCATGAAAATCTTATAGGTGGCTCCAGTAAAACAGACTAAAATAAAGAAAATAAACCTTCAAAGAGGCGAGATGTAACAATGAAGCCTGTCCAGTTAATGCACAGCTTATGATTTTGTTAACAATAGCAATGCCATGTTACTGGCCTGCAGGTCGCTGTTTCTTCTCTCCTTTAGTAGTCTCCAGCTCCTGGATTACTGCCCATGAGTGCAGCAAGCATGCTGCAAACCCTGCAGTGATACCAGGCCCCTGGACAGGACTGAGTAGGGAGCCTCCATGGAGGTTTTTGCTTTCTGATCTGGCCAAAAAGGTCTGATGGTGGTTGCCTCTAGTTCTCCAAAGCACTTCACAGTCATTATCTGCCTTGTTAAATGTCTAAAATTAATGTAATTTGTAAAAAGACCAAAGCTATTAATATGGAATGAAAAACCAAGTTAAAAATCCTTGCAACTGCAGGAGCCCTCAGCTCCTCCGCTTTGCCTCAGAGTTTGCATAGCTACTCCATCACTCTGTCAGCTGTTGCTTGTTCAAGGAGCTGTAGTAAAATCTGTTGCCCTACAAAAATAGAAAATAAGCAAAACTCAAAGCATAAGCCAGCCCCGTTAGTATGCAAGCACATAAACAGATCTGCTGTCGCCACACAGGAGGTAAACACCACACAGGCTGCGCTCCCTTGCTTCCGAGAGATGAGGTTGTGCTGGGGCATGCTCTAAGTGCTGGGGCTTAGGCTGAGCAGGCGCCGGAGGTTCCTAGTTGGGGCATTTTCTGTGTCTGTGTTCTTGACAAATTAATGACAGATTCCAGAATTTTTTGGCCCCTTAGGGGGACATCTGAGAAACATGAACCCATTTGTCTTTACCGTTGCCCTCATCTATTTAATATCTTAGAGGACTTATCCTATTAGTAACTTAATAGGTCCCTTTCTGTTTTGTCTCTAAGGCTTGTTTCTTTTTATCTGATTTCAAATACATTTCTTGGCCCCTTATTTCATAAGCCATATATAAATTGGATTTGTCCTTTCTCATTTTACCTGTTTTTCTCATGTTGCTTCTTCTACTTGAGCCTTGTTTTTTTCTTTATCCTACCATAGTATTCTGGGACAAACAAAATATGGTAGGATCATAAGCCAGTGCATAATCTGTCACTGCTTCCTAAAGCTGCTAATATTGAGCTTGAGTTTTCACCCTATAATTCTTTGATATTGTCATACAATTTTCTTTAGTCTATTTTTAATAGTCTGACTCATTTCTTTCTACCAGTTGGGAGGATTGCAAGTGGTAGGATATATGCAGTCCTCGCTTAATTCCCATGTTACTCATTAAGGCTTGAGTTACTTCACTTACAACTCTTCTTGTCATCCTGTCTCAGCTGTTGTTCCGTACCTATGGGCAATTTTCTTTAACAGCTTTAACAGTTCCAGCCACTGTACTCCTTTCAGGAAGAACACATCAACCCATCCTGAAAAGATATTCACAGGAACAGATACTGATGCCCTTCTTTAGTTTTTGACAATTTATCTGGATGATCCCTTTGCAGTATTTGCCAAGGTCCTTGGTTTAGCTAATGCAGTTGACACCTTTCCACTAGTAGTCCACTTTTGTATCATTGCACAGCTCATGCATGGGTTTTTCTGTCTTCTTTCTTGCTGCATTTGGAGCTAAATGCAAATTCTTTCCAGTCTTTCTAGAGTACCCTGTACTTCTTTACATAATTTATTACAACAGTCCAAGAGAACTTGCTCTTTTTGAGCCCACCACGTTATCCATCCCATCTTCTCTTTTAGCTGATTCCTGGTTGGAGCTGCAGTAAACAAACTCTGAATCAATTTATCTGTTTGTTCACGAAATTTTTCTCAGTATTTTGTTTGTCTTTCCATGTACTTCAACTTCCTTTACCTATATTTTATTACCACTCTCCCTCTAAGCTTGCAAAATAAACCTCCTGTTTTATTCATAGGTGTCCCATTAAGTGCTTGCCGTTGCCTTTCTCCCTATCAGCCACCCAGTATTTTATTCTATTATCAGCATAGTAGCTTTCTGTAGAGGTACTGTGTAGAGGGGTTTGTCTGTTATCAACAGTCTGTAAGCTCCTTGGCATGATCCTTTCTCTAGTTTCCCCACTATTTGTTTCCTCATTTCACTAATAGTAGTATCTTGGATTATTTTCCTCCTTGTTCAAATTTAGCACTCCCATAAGTGCACATGGTTTATTACTGGCTTCCTTTAAAAGGATATCCCCATTAAGACCCATTTCTTTTCTTTCTGCTTAAGAGCAGAGTATGAGTAGACTAGGGTACAACTGGACTATTGAGGGGAAAGCCTCAAAGATCATCACAGCGAAGACTGCCTCTAACCAGGTTTTCTCATAACCAGAGAAATTTTGGTCTGGCCTTGGGAGAGGGCAGGACTCATATGCTACTGGTATCCATTTTCCTTCACTATTTTCTGTAACAGTACTGCTCCCACAGAATCAGCTTATGTTGAAATTCTTACTACAAATAACTTTCCTTTGACTGGGAATTTTAATGCAGGAGCTTTTCAAGCAGCTTCTTTCATGTTAGATAAATCTTTGTCCTGCTCTTTGCTCCAGCTCCCTTCCTGAATTTTTTTCTGTCGTTTCCATGATGCTCTGCTAGTACTAGCAAAGATGAATATACTACCACAAGGTACTAACACAGTTATAGATATGTTGCCATAAGAAATTGAATCTTCCCAACACTCTTCAGTGTTGGGGCTGATTAATGTGTTTATTTCACAGAAGGCTTAACCTTTGTAGCATCTATCCATCTTCTTGTTTCACCAGTTCCAATTCCCAAATAGTTAACCTGGGGTTGCGTTAATTGTGTGGCATTCAAATTGATTTTAAATATCATTTGGTCTATTAATTTTAAAACTCAGCTACTTCCTTGTTGTGCCTCTTTCTTCTGTAGCTGCAGTCCCCCAAATATCATCTACATAAGACTATTTCTTTTCTTTGTCCTCAGGATATCATCATTCAAACACTTTCCTAACACAAGCA